GATTGTATGAGAATAAAAATCCAAATATTAACGTAACTGTATGATCTTTTACGCAGAACATAAAAGTATAACGTGATATATCGTTTAAAAATATTTTATGTACCCATATTTACCTAAAACATAATTTCGTACATACAATATGTATGCATGTGTGAATGTGTCTATGTTTAATACGAGAGCGTATACGTATCTATGTGTGTGTGTGTGTGTGTGTGTGTGTAGTAGTAGTAGTATACTTTCCGAGTATACAGAAATCTTCAAGGCACTCCAGATATATATATATTACATTCATATTTTACAAATTCTGTTCTTCAGTTTTTCGCACTTGAGGCATCTTAAGATAGAAAGTAAAATCAGATGAGAGCGCTTTCAATTAGTGCTTTCTCTACAGCATTTTCCTACAGTACAAATTATACCGAGGCGACATTTTATACACATACATGTTACAGCAACAATGATCAAATTAGTAAAATTTCGATCTATTTACAACTACCTTCAATCTTACCTAACATACGCATTACAGTTTTCTGAACCTGCAATAGATTCGTTCATTCTTTCTTTCTTTTTCCTTTACACCGGTCCTGTCTTCTTCAAGTACAAAAAATAAAGATTGAAAAAAGATTATAGACATCATCTGTTTCGTCAAATATAACAAATATAACTTCTTCTTACCAGTGGAAACTATCTGATTTTTAAATTACAGCTGTGACTGACTAATAGTTTCTAAATTACGTTAGCAAATATTGTGTATAAGGCGATTTTCTGAAGTATTCATATTAATGTCCAATTATCTTGTTTATAAATTGACTACTAGGAAACGTATTCTGTTGTTTTCTTTTTAAATAATCCTCGAAATGTTCCTAAACTGTAGATAAAACAAAACCTCTATACTCTTTAACATTACACGGTCACTGTAATCTAAATGAATATGCTTTGAACATTAATTTATGTTTGTTGTTTCACATTATCAACATATACTTTGAATATATGAACATTAACATGATTTTTGTTATGATTGTTAAGTTTATCCAAAATATAGATTGACTTCCTGAATATTGCCTATAAGTTTGCTGCCTTTGTATCTTCATATACCTTTGGCTTCTCGCTTTAGTAATAGCAAGTTTCACAAGCCTTTGTATTCGCACTTAAATACAATATGTTACAGAAACACTTATTTATAAGAATGCATGTACATCACCATCGCTTACCTAACAACGTTTAGGATAATGTACACAAAGAAGACATGTACAAGATTTTTAGTTGGATAATGGTTTTGATACAGGATCTTAACATTGAACACCAACCTCAGTCAGTTTTCGGCTCGCATAGTTGTTTTAACGATTTCAGTTCCTCTATTAATGTCTGATTTCTGTTTTCCAATATCGCGACACGATTTTCTAAACACTTTATGTATTCTTTTTTTTTCCTTCTACATTCCCGCGCTGCTTGTCTATGAGCAAAAAATTGAAAATCTTCTTAATTAAGATATAAAGTAAAAAAGCTAAGTCATTTAAAATAGACCGAAAATGAAAAAAAAAGAATTGTCATTCTTACCTATTCTTAAGCAACCTTAGTTCTCTTTTCCTAGCTGCATCTTCTACTACAACACCGTGTCCTGTGTAAGCTGGAACATTGCCAGAGGCTGTACTCTTTAAATTTATATCTCATTCATTTATAGTTAATCGTAGGAGATTGTAATTGAAAGTATTAACAAATATTATTAAATATATATACATATCATTGTATGATTGATTTAATTATTATAAGAATGATATGAAAAATCGCCCACCTGGGACAAAGAATTGTGTATCTTGTCCTTGCGCATACTGTACTATTGCTCCACCAGCAGTTGCTGCATTGCTCATAGTCAGTGTATGTAATCCTGGAACACCTTCTCCCTGGGTTGCAATTTGAATTGTGCCCGCTGGAATTACTGTAACATATAACAGCTTCAGCTAGAGTACACTTGCTATATATAATTAGATATTTATGTAACAAATAAACATTTAGTTGAGAATTTTTTGAGTAACATATTCTTGGCATTAACTAAATACTAATGTTTAATTTTATATAAATTTATAGTAATTATTAATTACTAAATAACATTGCGTATGTAATATATGTGCGCATATTTATCCACATAAGTAAAAATGAGAATCCCACAAGCTAGGATGCCACACCAAGCAAATACAATACGTAATATTGCAGAAGGCAGCAAACAGAGAGACGAAAGGAACCACTTTATTCTAACGGTTTTATTTTTCTCCTGTAACGTTATTTCCTCCAAAATAATGGAACAGAGGTTGAAATATGCACAGAATGAAATAGTATAAAGGACAGCCAGGAAAGATACGTAGAAGAAAAAATAACCAACCTGTCTGATAATGAAGAGAGTGGGAAGACACTTCACTGTCCACGTTAGAATCACACTCAGAAGATGATTCTAGGGGGGGCAATCGACCGTCTGCAACACCGAATCATCACAACCCCCAGTTATAACAAACTTATTGCCGGTGTGTAACTGAACTTGATCAATCCCCATAAAATAGTATTCATTTCACGAAGTCATGATTTTTTTATAGTATAAATTAATAGAAACTGTTACATTTATAGTAATAACTAATATTTCTTCTAAAATAACTTTCCTGATTGTATAAAAGTGCATAATTCATTTATCTTTCTCCATTCAACAAAGATGTATATCCAACACATGAATCGAAGAAGAATAAAAAACAAGATTATAGTATTTGCTATGCTATTTCCTTTCTGGTTGCTGTGTATATATCTTCATTGCAATAGTCGTGCAGTCAGCTCATACAAAAAGGAAATAATTCAAGGTAACATGAAAATCAAAAGTGCCCAAATTTTAAATTATAATGATATAAATCAATAAAAACTATAGAACTCGATTTTAGAAATAAAATATAACGTATGTTATTATTGTTATTCGACTATTCTCTAATTCTTTTAGTCACTTTAGATTTTCTTGTCTCTGTTTCAAATTTCGGACCCCTTTTTATATTTAAACAAAAAAGTAAGAGTTATTGTCATGTAATATGGGAACCTATTTGCTTCCAGGTAAAGATTTGACAGTTTAATGCAACATTATGCATATATAGGTAATGGTTCGTGGAGATTCTAATATCTTACTTTTTAGATTT